ACTCTGATAGCACCGTCTCTTTCAATCCTAGCAACCGCATGTGTCCTAAAAACTTTGTTTCCCAAAGTTCATAGTTTTTCTCATCTCCGTCGAAACACAATCTATTCCATCGGTTACTCACATCTCTTCTGGGCCCATAACCTGTTGGCGCAGCCATTTTCGTGTATGGTAACCGGTATATAATCTTAATTACACGGAGGTAAAATAACTCACGTCTCTCCTCGGTTTTCTGCTGAACCGGAATACATTTATTTGCATATGTCCAAATATGGGAAGCAGGTAACACATGACATGACAGTCTGAGGGCACATCCAATAGTAACGCTAACATGTTGGTTGCAATTTGTAGTCTTGCAAAATCATATGTGGCAAGGTCTCTCAGTCCCTTGTCGTCAGTGTGCTTACAGATGGCTTGTCTGACAGCTTTTAGAATGTGTGCAGAGCAAATGTGCAGCGCTGTATATGATTTCATTTCTTCATATGATTTGAGCCCCATGCAGGTTTGACCTAGCAGAACTGTTGCTATGACAACAACTCTCGGATCAGCTTTGAAGAACGAAACGATCCTGGATCGTGTCAAATCGTCAATATCCAAATCCAGCTAACTGAGTAATCCACGTACGAAGAACGGACCCCAGATGTGCTCTTTGTTGAATGCAAGTAGCACACTTTGCATCAAAGCCCAGCTATAATCGGTCTCAACTTGGGGAATTATTATTTTTATTAATTTTGACAAATGCAAAGAAAAAGGTGTGGGGAAGTGGTGGTGTTTTCCTGGAAGTACCATTGTGTAGTAAAACACACTCTTTTGCTTATCTGGTATTTTTGACACAACACTTCCAGTTGCATCCACATAGAGGCACACATACCCCTACCCCTTACCCTTGGCCCTTACAACTGAGGGTTAAGGGGAAGGGCTGCAGTGTTAGAGTCTGTGTTATACCACTCATCCACAGGTGGATAATGAACCCAGAAGCGAGACAGTACTTGGATAAGAGATGTGTTTACAGAACACAAAAATCCAGATTTGGAACAACAAAAAATGCAGAGATAAAATAGGACTGAGTTAACGGAGGAACAAAAAGGCCAACAGGCAAAATATCTCTGGAAAAAACTAAAGCAGGAGAAATGTATCCAAAAAACAAGGAAAAAGGCTAAGTAGCATAGAACTCTGAAATGAACAGATCTTAAGAAAGCAGGACAACACTCATTGTAACGAAGGGCTAGCATCAACAATAACCGAGCAAAGAAACAAGGGAAACTAGTGAACTTAAATACACATGACATACAAGGACACATGTGAAAACAATCACGTAATTACTGAACTGAAACAACACATGGGAAGAAGTGAGGATATCTAGTGGAGAAACAAAATCATAACATATAAAAACTAAAGTCATAAAATGACAGATGCTGAAAATATGTCATCACAATCTCTTGCTTCATATGAGATCAGACAATGGCGACTGCTGTAGTTATTCCAGTTGTGTTAGTTTTTGGTATTTATCTTCAGAAAATCACTGAAGGCAGATATTATGTTATCATAGCGATCTAATGTGGCAATAAGATCATAACTGTACTGTGTATTTTCACAGTGGCCATATTCATCTATGGAAACACACGAAAACAACACTGACATTATAGCAGACACTGTAAAAAGCTCATTTTTAGCCACTAGACTTTTCTGACAGGGTATTCCAGTGTCAGAATGTTGTAGGACTGCTTTACAGGAGTAATTAAAGCATGACTTTAAAACATGAGTGTGGTTATAGAGGTTTGACTCGTGGTGGCAGAAGTTAGGCAAGTTTTTGGTAGCTCAGGAGGTTTTGGAAAAGCCTGCAAACCTGTGTTTTTATTTGCATAAACAGTCAAAAAAGGTATTTATAGATCACTGTTCACACTTTATCAGTGATAATCATTAATTTCACACACATAAAACATGAAACCTAATGTATACAAGGTTCAAGAAATGTATTTCCCCTCATTTGTCTTTTTAGTAACTTTTGCGGCATCATCTTCTGATAAAAGGCCCTGCAAGTGTTACATGTGTTAGCTTACATTTTTAATAACATATAATTTATGTAGAAAAAAATATACAAATATTTTGAAGAATATTTACGCACTTACACTAAATTTAATCATTATATGTTTTCTTTTTTATTAATCTTTTCCTCTTCTCATCTGGCATAGTGGTGACAATGTCATGCTCAGTTTGGGATGATGATGCATCATGCATTTCACAGTCTTTCTCATTCTCTACAAAACAATGTGTTTTTGTGTCAAAATTAATATATTAAAATAATTTATGGATTTGCAGGTGTAAAACAACCTAAAAATTTACATTGGACGTCAATTTTTGTTTCAAAATTGTGAACTAGTCGAATCCTCAAACTTCAGAGGAAATTGCTATAGTCAAGGCATTACCATCTTTCATGGATCAGGTTGGATGCGTTGACCCATGGCAATTTCTCAATCCATCATGAAGATTTTTCTTTTTTTCCAAAGTTCATCAATCTCATTCACACATTGATTATTTTTCTTAAATAAAGCTCTCTTACCTTTTATACTATAATTCTATACTTCTTTTATAAGTTATACTTCTGTATATTCTGCTTTAGTCATCTCTGATCATGCTCCACCATACTTTCAACTGTCATGTGCTCGCCGTGTCGCGGCACATCCGATGTGTGACCTGCTTTATTTTCTGTTCTCTTCTTACCTCCTCTACCGCGCTACTGTCCTCCGATGCATTCACACCTCCTCTTGTGAATATTTTGGTTAATTTTATACATTTGGCATTATCTGATTGTAAAGCCCTTTTCTTGCTCTCTCTGACCTTTTCAGCACCGCCTTTCCTTTTTTTACGGTCCATATTTGACATTAACGTTAGCTTGTGTTGCATTTACGGTTTGACTATTTTGCCAGATTTTGATTACATCAGCGTAATCCACAGCCTCTGATTGGGTCGGCCCATCTCGAGACCGGCCGGCCGTCGCCGATCCATTTGGTCCAAGTGCTTAACATGTATCATTATTATAATTATAAATCATCATTATTAGTAGTATTATTATTATTGTCATCAACAGCAGCATTATATTTACATCTTGCAAGAGATAAAAGCTGCCAGCATGCAAAAACTATAGAAAAAAACCTGACCGGCCCACATTTTAAAACTGCTCCGGCCCTTCTGGCATTTGCCAGAACTGCCAGATGGCCAGTCCGCCCCTGCTCCACATTCTCTTAAACCTAAATCTTTCTTAGTCTAGAGGCCGGGCAAATAAGCGGAGGAAACTTTCATGTTTCTATTACACTCTAATAAAAAGATTTGTCTTTTGAAGTCTGAAAAGAAATCAATGGAGTTTGATGACAAGGAGCTCAATTTTATTTATTTTTTTGCTAAGGCATGGTTACAGAGTAATCAATGAAAAACTTGTGTACAATTGTTTGTTTGAGAGCATTAAGGTCTCTCCCCTCTCTCTACGACACTGCTATGCAAAGATCTGGCCCTGTTATAATGACAATCTACAGTATGGGATCACTTCTTGGGGTGCTCTGAATTGATTCTTTTATTTTGTTTGATGTGTACCAGGGCCTTAAACGAAAGCACAGCTAATAAATTGAATAAATAAGTAAAATGTATATATTTAATTAAGACATGCTGTGAATATACACTTGCATGTTTATTTATTTTAATGTTAGTGATGCATTTTATACTCTGTAAATTTCCTGTTTTTCAAACCACTGATTTTGTGCTACACAGATTTAGGCCCAACCACAATTCTATTTTTGTGTAATTATTATTATTATATTTTTTGTAAAAATTTTATATGCTTGTTTGTTGTAAAAAAATGTAACACTGCAAAAAAATTTATTAATTAAATGTGTGCATCCCCTGACTCGCATGAGTAGCCATGTTGCCATTGCAGTTGGTGTATTTGGGCTTTTTTTTTTGTACCCCTTGGCTATCTAGCTCTTCACCTTAGCCCTGTGCCTTCAAGATGAAGATAATTGGGACAGCCCTAACCCTTCATGTGAAACACAAAACAAGGGGTAGAGGGCTAAGGGGTAAAATTGGGATTGGGCCTAAGTATTACTTACTGACAAACTGAAAAGAACCACAAGAGAGATAGACCTATGAACATAGACTTACATAATATTGATCCTCAAAAACCATACAGATTCTTTAAACAAATATACTAAGAGTGTCCTGATGTTATTTTAACAAGCCAGAAAGTCAGCCAGTCCTCCATTGGATTTTTATATTTTTTTATATGCTGACTTCACCTGTGCTTTTGGCCATCTCACAATTTTCTCTGCTTCCTCCATCCAGTTTCTTGGGATCACACCTTCAAAATGTTTGTCAGCCTTGATCCAAACTGCTCTTGCAAAAAACATGTCTGCAACTACAAATAGTCAACTTGAACAAATAAATAAATAATTCTGTAAGACCTGAGGCTTGAACCTCAGTCTCCACAATTCTGCCACAAAGCCATAGTGAGGAGTTGGATACAAACATAATGCAAACATGTTAATCAGTGATGGGAATAATGGAGCTATAAATAAATGGAGTTATTAACCAGTTAAGCTCTGGGGCTATTTGGGGTAATTCTGCCTGAATTTGGCCTTCCGATTTAAACAGCTTCCCATACCCACATGCAGAGGTGTAAATACAAAAAGTTTAGTATCATTTGAAAGGAAACCCTTTGAAATGTCATAAAATACAGTTGAAATTGAAAACAATTGTTGTATATATTGTCTGTGTTATAATAAACATTTTTATAAACTGAAGTTTGGAAATGTGTAACTCAAGCCTTGAGTGGTCCAGCACCCTGGAAACAACTTTGTTTCTTTCCAGCAGGTGTCAGCAAACACAGGGAAATTTTTTTTTTCTTTATAATAATTTATGCAAGTGTTATTCTATTCCAACTGCAAGGAGGAAAAACACCTTTTTATTTATTTATAGATTTCTCTCCTGTGTGGTTTCTCATGTGTAGATTAAGTTGTGATGATTGGCTGAAACTCTTCCCACATTGAGTGCATGTGAATGGTTTCTCTCCAGTGTGGATCCTCGTGTGTATATTAAGGGATGATGATCGGCTGAAACTCTTCCCACACTGAGTGCATGTGAATGGTTTCTCTCCGGTGTGGATCCTCATGTGGTGATTAAGTGATGATGATTGGCTGAAACCCTTCCCACACTGAGTGCATGTAAATGGTTTCTCTCCAGTGTGGATCCTCATGTGTAGATTAAAGTTTGATGAGCAGTTAAAACTCTTCCCACACTGAGTGCATGTGAATGGTTTCTCTCCAGTGTGGATCATCATGTGAATCTTAAGATAGCCTTTTCTTCCAAAACTCTTTCCACACTGAGTGCAGGTGAATGGTTTCTCTTTAGTGTGGATCCTCATGTGTTGATTTAGGTGTGATGAGCAGTTAAAAGTCTTCCTACACTGAGTGCAAGTAAATGGTTTCTCTCCAGTGTGGATCCTCATGTGTTTATTAAGGGATGATGATCGGCTGAAACTTTTTCCACACTGAAAACAGGTGAAACGATTCTCGTCTCTCCTTTTCAAAATACCATCAGTCTGTGAATGAGTTTTTTCCTCAATTTTGACATGATGTTCCTCCTCTTTACTCCCCTCATACTCTTCAATTAGGTCTGAAATAAATAAATAAAACATTAGTTTTCAATAAGTCTTAAAAACTCTCATCAAAAGCTGAAAAGTGAGAAGACACTGGAAATTTTGGCTACACACACTGTAATTTTGATGCACATTAAATGTAAAATGAATCAGATCTTATTTAGTTTGTTCCTTTAACGTGCACACATTTAAGCAGATTCAATTTAATGATCTTTATGTATCTAGTGCTTTTTACAATGTAAATTGTGTCAAAGCCGCTTAACATAGAAGTTATAGTAAATTGAAAGTTTCAGTTCAGTTTTCAGAGTTTCTCATAAAACTCATTTTGGTCATATTGATAAGACACAGATTTGAAAAAAAGAAAGAGGAGGAGAGTTTTTAGTGGGCAGCATTATTTGGTGTACAGAAGAAAAAGAAGTTGACTGAACTGTTGCAGTGCACATTTTTGTAATGTTTTTTTATTTATGGGGGGGACTGACTCCATTCCCACACCACCGTTACTTTTCTCTGTTGGAAAAAAGGTGATTTTTACTATTGATCATCAGTTACTAGGGGTGTAACGATACACTCAGCTTACGATACAATTTGTATCACGATATAATGTTCACGATTCGATATGTATCACGGTATTTGGAATAAAAATTGAAAATTAAACTGAAACGCAAATTTTATTTTAAAGAAATTAATTACCAAGTAAACTATTTTTTATGTATTTCTTTTGTTTCAACTTGTTAAACTGAACCTTCTTTAAGAAAATAAATGAAACAGGTCTCTGGAAAATAAAACAATTTAAAAACCTCTTATATAATATTATTGAAATGATTTAATTCAATTGAGTTTAACAGTAAGAGCTTAAGGCTTTGCTTGGTCACTTGCGTTTTTTGTGTGTGCAAAAAAATAAAAAAATATACATTTCCAGGTAATCAGCAGTTGTATAAAACAGGACAATCGTGGCTCTTTTCAGCAGTTTAGGCAGGTTTACTATTTCTTCTGCGTCGTTGATGTCGACGCTATCAAGTGTATTATGTTGACGTGCATTTTTGTTTACCTCTGCATTTAAAAGAGTTCATGCTCGTCGTAATCATAACTCTAAAATGCGATATGATTATTTAAATAATGTGCAAGCTTTCAGTTTCATTTCCACTGCTGTTTATTTTTCCCACGCGGCTCCTGAACGATCACTCTGTTCCACAAACTGAATGTTGTTTACTACTTTATTACCTGTTAGTCACAACCTGCAGGTTCTGTTCACTGAAGCAGACGCGCGCGCTCTGTAGTAACAGCTCACGGTCAGCTCACGTCATGTGTGATTTTGCGGCTGCCAATACATCATTATATAAAGACAGAATGATATTTTAGGGTGAATTGTACCTTATAAACACAGTATGTGACTCTTTAAACACCATTAGGAGGTATCCATGTCGTTGTGCAAAGTATGTAAATCACTATGAAGACTTTAAAACTTGGCTATCTTTGACCCAGTATGCGTGTCAAAAAGCGGACGAGTCTAAAGCAATGACTGTACAACCGAAATGTTGCCAGACGTCTGATTTTGAGAGGATGGGCCATCCTATTTCAACTACACTCATCTTGGTCAAATAACATTACTGCTGCTGCAATCTGAACTCACGTGCGACAGCAGGTGGAACGTAGCTCACGTGCAAACAGCTCAACTAATAAGAGAAAACGGATGTCATATCGTAATGAAATCGTCATAACGCCACGATGCATATTGTGACATTTTTGCATCGCAATAAATCGTACAACGATAAATCGTTACACCCCTATCAGTAACAGTGCAAAAAAAAGCAGATTTTCTGCCTTTTATATGGAGTATAGTGTGTGTGTGTGTGTGGGAGTCTTAAAGAGTGTAAGACAGACCTTTGCACACTTACCCTAAAAAAAAAAAAACACCTCAGCTCTCAGAACACAGTAAACAGTAAGCTGATGGAGAGGATTTTCTGATGGATGTCTCCAGGATGGAGGAACCTGTGTAAATTCTCCTGTCTTTATGATTATTGATAAAGTTGAATGTTTAAGGTCCTAGATTATATGATGACCTCAGTGTCCTCCCTCTGTAGAATAAATATCGAATAATGTGCGTGTAGGGCTGCACAATAACAGAAAAAAATGATAATCACAATTATCTTGCTTAAAATGTTAATTATTCCTTTAAGTGTGTATGTGTGTGTGTATACATGGTTTCCGCTACATCCATTCTTCTAAGGTGGAGCGCCAGACCAAAATTCTTTCTGCCATGGCTACATTACAGTTCCTCATTCAAAACATTCAGTCATGTTTTTTTTTGGGGTACAAAACATCCATTGTGTGCATTCTTGACAGTTTGTTCCTGTGTTTTTAATTTTGTCTATATCAATATCGGAATTATAAGGTATCTATCAAAATCAAGAAATATATTATGATATAAATTTTTGCCATATCATCCAGCCCTAGCTTCATTTAAGATTTACCTCAGATTTTGACTGACAGTTCCGTATGATCTGACGAGATGCTACACGCACAGGCTGCTCTAATTAGTATGACATCCACATTGTAAAAAACATAGAAAAAAGAATGATAATTATAACAATTAAAAAAAAAAATCAAAGAGTAAAGGCTACATCAATATTTGCAACGCCGCATGAACTGTTTACTCAAGTCTCAAAACATTTCGTGAGCTCCGCCAGCCAAAATCATGTCACATTTTTAAGGCCTTAAATTTCGATTTTTATATTTTAGACTTTTTAAGACCCCACTGAAACCTCGCAAATCTTATAAATATTAAAATATATGCAAATTTATATCAAAATATAGGAAATGAGTTTAACAATACCACCATTACTGAAAAAATTATATTGTGATATATATATTAATATCGAAGTATTGTCCAGCCCTAAATGAAACAAGACAAGACTGCCTGACTCTCTTGCGTGGGTAGTTACAATAGCAACCTAACGTTCTCCTCAGAATTTCCAACAAGCTTACTTTAATTCGAAATTAAAGCCGGTAACAAACATGAAGTACAATCAGGTATATGCTGAGCTACTGCTGTTCCCATGCTGATAAACTTCCGGTGACCTGTTATTGTGAACTTTTTTCCATTTTATACGGTACATTTTCCAGCATCGATGTTGTAATGTTATTAAAATACATTCAGTTAAATAAACTTTGACATTTATTTAGTTCCTCAAGCGTAAAAAGGGAGAAAAAGCCGTTTACTCGTCAGAACCGGCAGGCTAGTGCAGAAGCTCCATTGAATATACTGGGGTAAAATAAATCGTCATATTATAAAGACATGGAGGTGGAAAATGTAATTTGATGCAGTGCTTTTTGTACAATCTGAGGCCCACTTTAAATCGGATATCACTCAGCTAGTGGAGATCGCTGATTTTTAAAGAAAACAGACCTTAAACGCACCGGTTTTTGCATTGGCATTCAGTTCCCTGGAAGCGCTTAACCCAGGTTACTGTCAAATTAAAAGTCCTACTAGCATGCTTCGGCATATACCCTATTGTGGTGCAGCATTAAGACGAATGCATTTAGTGACTGACAGGAGACGTGGCTATGCAGGACCACAGTGTGTGTGTGTGTGTGTGTCTGTGTTCGCAAACTCGCTTTCAGAAAGGAGAGACAGAAAGTGCTTACTACTGTGGGGCTGCCTCTGATGAAAAAAAAAATAAACAAAAACTCTTAAATAAAGAAAAGAGGTAGAGAAAGCCCAGCTGATATTGCTTTATTGATCCTGTGGGAAAGCAATAATGAATCGGTTTTAATATTTCTGCATAATGTGTTGAAAAACTACCCTGACAAAACTTAAACCCAAAAGATTGATGGCTTTGGAAAATACATTCGGGGCTGAAGCCACAAAAGCCCAACAAACCCCTCGCGCAACCCCTAATCAGAAATAAACACCAACCTATTTGTTGTTCAGAGTCTTCATTTTTAATTTTGCAGGGTTCTGGATCACTCATGTTCTTGCTGTCCTTCAATGAACTCTTCACTGGAGCATGATATGAAAACTCCAGTGTTTATAGATGAACCGGAGGAGTAGGAGCTTCACTGGAGGAGGAGACATATATTCTAATTACGTTCTTTGCATATATTTATATTTTAATGCCATATTAGCAGCGCTATATCTATATTCATGGCATAACTTGTATTAAATATTCTTAATATAATTGACAATCATAACTCTTTCTGAAACATCAATTGTTTTTTTAAACACACAAATAACAACAACACTCAATATCTTATAAGCTCTTTCAGTCTGATCAATGATAAAAAAAGTCCTCCAGAAAACACATTTTTAAACATTTGCCTTAAAAATATTTCCTGAATAAAAACATTCTCTAACATCATTTAAAATATATACATTCGATTAAGTTACACATAGGTTTTTAATGTGTGCAAGTCTTCAGTGGCTGATTCTACATCTCATAGAGGTAAAGTTGGTTTTCTATTGGGTTATTCAGACATTCACCTTAATAATATAATTTCATAAAAGTAGTTTTTGCAAATTCTAAATAGGGAAATAAAAGCAGCCAATGACTATCAAAGTACAACACTATTCACAGTGAATTAGTGTTAATGTTGTTTTGAAGTCATACTCGCATGCTAATTTGAATATTCACGTAACACGATAAACAATATAAAGACTTGACCTTAAAACAACATAAGAACTATCTAATAGACTGTAAAGAATGTTGTACTTTGATAATCATTGGCTGCTAATATGATTTAAATGGGTAAAGTTGGTTTTATATACGCACATTCGTTTATTTAGAAGTCTCTATATTGTTTACCATGTTACTTTGAATATTCGATCGGAATTAGCATGCAAGTATGACTTGAAAATAACATTAATACTGTTCATTTGACTTTGAACTAATAGACTGTAAACGATGTTGTACTTTGATAGTCATTGGCTGCTAATATGATTTCCCTATTAAGAATTTGCAATAAATATTTTTCTGAAATTATATTATTAAGGAGAATGTCTGAATATCCAAATATAAAACCAACTTTACCCTGTAGATGACCCGCGATTAACTGTTAACGCATTACAGAAGTGTTTAAAGCGTAGCATCGAGCTAAAAACAAGAGAGTATATTAGCATTAGGCACATAAGTAAAAGCAGTTCAACCCGCAAGATAATTGCAGCACATCTGCGAACACTACAAAGGTCAGATATAATATATTTACTTTGAATAGATGCACAACACCCGTAACATAAGTGGAATTAAAGGTGATAAACAGCAAACAAACCTCTGTACTCTCTGCCTCAGACTGAGCGCCATGGGCGGGATATTTGCCTGCACGCAGATCAGCGAAAGCTGATTGGCTGTCTGTATGTGGCTCAGATAAAGCTGATTGGCTGCCTGTTTCTCAATCAGTCTCCTGACAACAGAGGGAAACATTGGTGGACAGAATAATTTTTCTTCTTTTTCAGCCTTTTTATAAAGTGGAAAACGAGGGAGAAACGTATTAGTAAGTGATGACTGCAACAGTAAGAGTCAAAAAACTAAACAAACTTTTATTCTGGCGTGGCGTGTGACGTCATGAGGCTGCGCCACTCATGCGATGTGATTATACTGGAGAAAGGTTTGTTGTAAAGCTTTTACATGAATATAAACCGATTGATTAGTTTTAGGTTTTTCATCTAATGTTAATTTATGTACCTGTTGACACTATTATTTTAACCCTTTATACAACATTGTACTATTTTACTCAGTAATGAGAGCTATTGTTTGAATAAAGTAACAGAAACGTAAGTAATAAGTGTTTTAATACAAGTTTAATTTATGAAATAGCATAATGTCATTCCATTCTAAGTATACATCACTATATATAAGAGATAGTGTACTAGTTTTAATCAGCTCATTTGTGGCTATTGTGTCTTGCTCAGACTTACCAGATTTTTTTTGTTAATGACTCTCATATAAAGAAACTGTTGAAGCAAGTGTTGAAGAGAAGTTATTTTTATTCTGCTCATTGTTTTATTAATTTTAAACTGGACATTTTTATTGTTTTGTTCATTTTAAACAGGATAAATTGTCAAAACACAGAGGAAAAACTCCTGCTGAAGCGACTGATCTCCACACTGTTATAAAGATGGCGTTTATTAAAGAGGAGAGTGAAGATGTGAAGATTGAAGAAACATTCACAGTCAAACAGGAAGATCTGCAAGAACAAACAGGTTAATTTTCATTCTCAAACACCAACTCAGTCATTTGATCCTCATTCAGATATATTTTAATAATAAGAATACTAAATTAAATCCATCTTGCAGCCCTGAGTGTGCTGCCTAGTTCTCCTAAATGCACATAAGCACTCATTGAAAGACAGGAATGAGTTTCTTTCATTACTTGTTCTCGTGTCTTTAGTCATTCTTTTATGTATTAGTCTTCCATTTTCTCTACCTTCTTAAGGTTATTGCGTTTCTTGTTTTCCTACAGTTTGTAAAGCGTCCTTGAGCACTGGCGATATATAAATAAAAACAATAAACAAAAAAGTTTAACTGAGCTGACGATATTTGACCTACAGCAGGGGTGTCAAACTCAATTCCTAGAGGGCCGAAGCCCTGCACAGTTTAGTTCTAACCCTGCTTCAACACACTTACCTGTAGGTTTCAAACAAGCCTGAAGGACTCAATTAGTTTGATCAGGTGTGTTTAACTAGGGTTGGAAGTAAACTGTGCAGAGCTGCGGCCCTTTTGGAACTGAGTTTGACACCTGTGACCTACAGTATTCTCATAAAAGACATCTGCTATTATGGTGATAGTGTTGGTTTAGTACTTTCCATTTGCGTATGTCACGTTGATCACAATTCCCTTTTTTTCATCAACTTCTTTATGGGTTTAAACTTGTTTCTAGTAGTTGTTACTAGTTCTTACAGATAGAGTTAGAATCTGAGTGGTTTTCCTCCAGGTGCTCCGGTTTCCCCCACAAATCCAAAGACATGTGGTACAGGTGATTTGGGTAGGCTAAATTGTACGTGGTGTGTGTGTGTGTGTGAATGAGTGTGTATGGGTGTTCCCCAGAGATGGGAAGCAGCTGGAAGGGCATCCGCTGCGTAAAAAACAAATGCTGGATTAGTTGACGGTTCATTCCGCTGTGGCGACCCCAGATTAATAAAGGTACTAAGCTGAAAAATAAAATGAATGAATAAATGTTTTGTATTATTAAATTAATTAAATTATAATACTTTTTATAGGACAAATACAAAATCTGGGCCATTTGAAAAATTCCTTAGCCTTTGGCCCTTTATGCATCTAAAATTTCATTCATAATGGTCATAAAAGTCTTAAATTTAACTTAGTGACACCTGCAGAACACCAACAAGCACGTAATGTGAACGTTCTGACAATGTTACATTTTCCAAAAAAGTATGGTCCCCTAAAAATTCTGAGAACGTTCTGAATGTTCTGTGAAGGTCCCCCAAATAACATCTTCCACACATTTAAAGAACTCAACATCATGATCTTCTCAGAACGTTCTGGGAACGTTACTAAACAACGTCCTTAACACTGCCGATATAGACAAAATAAAAACACAGGAACAAACTGTCAAAAATGCACACAATGGATGTCTGTACCTACTAATTTCTGCAAACTGAATTTGCAAAGTCTATAATACCTCCAGGCTCTTATAACTTTATATATATATATATATATATATATATATATATATATATATATATATATATATATATATATATATATATAAAATTATGTTCACTTTTTATTTGTATTACTCTTTTCAAACAAGAAATGTGAAATAAACTGTCAAATAACTAAAACTGTCAGACTCTGCTTATTTATTTATATAAATAACAAATAGACATAGTTTAGCTTGCCCAACGTGAACAGAAACATTTTATCAGCTATTTTTTATGCTGAATATTTAACAATCAAATTAATACAAAAACCTTACAATTATGACATACACATTGTAAAAAACATAGAAAAAGAATAATAATTTGAACAATAAAAAAAAAATCAAAAAGAGTAAAGGCTACATCAATATTTGCAATAGAAAAAAGTTGTTTGAGTAAAATAAAAACAAAAAGTACACTCACAAAAAATACTCATGTTTTTTTTATATTTTATTATGTCTACTTAACAATTCACACATTACAGTCTGGCTTGTTTCTGTCCTGTACTTATAAGCTAAAAAGGCAATATTGGTCCAACATTGCTGACCTATTTTACCAATAAACCCTAGAGAAACAGGGCATCAATATATTGTAAACTAATAAGTTCATGTATTCCTTTCCAGTTACAGTTGAAGTTAGAATTATTAGAATTTCTATTAGAATTTCTGTTTAACAGATTTTTTTCAAAACATTTCTAAAACATGATAGTTTTAATAACTCGATTCTAATTTATTTTATCTTTGTCATGACAGTAAATAATATTTGACTAGATATTTTACAAGACACTTCTATACAGCTTTAAGTGACATTTAAAGGCTTAACTAGGTTAAGTAGGTTAACTAGGCAGGTTAGGATAATTAAGCAATTTATTGTATAACAATGGTTAGTTCTGTAGACTATTATAATGGTCATATAAGTCTTAAATTTAACTTGGTGAAACCTGCAGAAACACTGGTTTAAAGTATGTCAAAAAACGTGGATGCCCCCAATATTAAACATGCTGAATGAAATGAACACTAAAATAAATAATTATTATAAAACACTGTACAGTATTCTAATCTATATTAATGTTGCTGTGGGACAACATGAGACAAAACAAACAAATTATAGTGGAACAATAACGTCAGCATTGCCAGTGGTGGATTTAGGCATGCGCAATATTGGCGATCGCCGAGGCGGCGTTTAGTTGGGGGCGGCATGGGAAAACGTTGCCAAAAAAACACATAACCTAGTAAAAGCATTGAGATACGATTACTATGCAAGTGTATTAGAAGTGCAGTAGGTGATCTTCCACAATGCTAACAGCTTAGCATAAATCTCTGAATCACAGTCCCTCCCCTGCCGTCTAGAGCCACACCTCCTTAAACACGAGCACAGCAAAAGAACCCTCTCTAATGCAAGACTAGTGCTTGTCCGGCAGCATGCAAGCCAAACTGACATGCTATTTCAGAGTGAATATTAGTTGCATGGTAAACAATATAGGGAAAGACTAGGCGGAATAGAGGTATTTACTTGTGTTTCGTTGTTAAACTAATTAAAATCTACATTATCGATGCTGTAAAAAGTCCCTTATGAAACTGAAAATAGTCTTATCAATCTTTCACTTGAAGATTTTAGTGGCTAAACAACATTTCTGTAAAGATATAACCCATTTGTAAGAACAACATCTAACGTTACGTCAGCTTTGCGTAAAGCTAAAACAGTTTTAAAACAGAGCATTACCTGTCTAAGAGAAATCCTTCAGCCATTGTTTCATCCTTTCTCCAGCGTGCAAAGGTAACCAATATTGATTCAGATTTTTGAAAAGTTTTGATTCAGCATGTTTTTACCGATCGCATGCTCGTGCTCTCTCTCTCCCTCTCGTGAATGAGCAGCACTAACAGTGTTCCATCGGAGCTGCGTACAAAAGGCTGCGCAGTTGTTCAAATCTGCATTTGCTGACAGACAGTCTGAGCTACTCATCGGAATTATGAGAGATGTCGGCCGACTTTAGTTTTATGCCTTACCCAAAATATAAAAATACAAATAAATACATTTAGACCATTTACTTTAATTATTACTATTGGACTGTGATGAGACTTTCAACCAGCACAAAAAAAAATGCTTCTGAATACAATCACCTACTGCACCTTTAATTTAGAGTGGCAATCCCAGAATAAAGACGTTTGGGGCCAATTATGTTTGGCATCTTTTGCACGCGCAAGTTTGTTATTCTCTATGTGCAATTGAAACAACGCTGGTGAATTCAAACTGATGCATGCATACAGAAAACCATTTCTGCGCACCTCACACACACTCCTGTGTGAATCCCGGTTGTTTGCATGCACACCAATAAAATACGCGCTGCTCATGCGCCATGAAACCGAATTAACAGCCTTTTGTGCAGAAGTGTCGGCATGCAGCGAGTTTTGCAAAGTTTATCTAAAGTTTATGTAACATGATGATGGTGTTACATTAACTAAGCATGGCAATAAAGCAGAAAGGAGGGATAAAGAGTCAGAGAGGTCAGGGAAGACTTTACAACATTAATTCTCGCCCATGAGTCAGGTCTAAGACAACAGATAATTTGGTTAACACTTTACAATAAATACACACTATGAAGCATTTATTATGCATTAGCTAATAGTGAATTCATTATCTGTTTAGCATTTACTCTACATTAATAAGC